TTTTAAATTCAACACACGCTATAATTCACAACAATTCATGCACTTTACTTACCGCGCTTGACTCAATTGTCCGTCTCTATTTCTGCCTGTCTGCAATTCAATTAATTATCTCGCTTTATTTGCCTGCTTATATACTAAAATAGAGGGCACGTAGAAAAGACTAGAATTGCCAGGAAGAGACATGATCCTTCTAGAAACTCCAGCGATCATGCTTCCAGCGTCGCGTGACTTCCGCTGTCGTAACAATACTTTATACAGAAAACTGACTATATATATAATATATACACTATAAAACCTGCCAACTCATTCCAATATAATGAATTATCACATAAAATCGTATTCACTTTAAAGTCTTTGCTAATTAAAACAATTACAAAAACAAAGGTATCCATGATACACAGACACCGTAAAGACCCTGATTTGCAAGCCAAGAAAAAACTAGCACCAATTAGGAAAAAAAACAAGGTTAATAGATTATTTACTCCGTTAAATGTACACAGCGTGGTCACAAGTAAATAGACACCACCTTGTCAGAAAAAAATGAAATTTTTCAGTCATATTCACATGAATTCATATTTTTATAATTTAATTAATATCTAGTAGATCTTCCTTTTGCTTCGTGGAGTTCGTTGATCCTTTGGGTCATCGTGAGAATCATCTCGTCAATTTTAGATTGTGGGATTTTCGCCCACTTTTGCTTCAAAACTTGGAATAGATCACTCTTCGAAGTTGTTGTTTTTTTTTCTTTTGTTGTTGTTTCTTGACTTGCCGGTCGAGTATGGCCCAAAGGTTTTTGATGGGGCTCATGTCAGGAGATTGGCTCGGCCAGGGCAACTCCTAGATACCATTTCTTCCTGCCACTTTTAGGTGTTTCTAGCAGTGTAACACGGTACTCCATCTTCCTGGAACAACGTTGTGTTCTTGTCCACGAATCTCGAGGAATAAAGTGGCAAGAGTCCTTCCTCCAATATTTCGACGTATTTCGCAAAATTTATGTTGCCAACGCACTCCACTAAGCTCGATATCCCACCAACCCAAACAGCTCCCCAAAGCATCACGCTGAAACCACCATGCTTCACAGTTGGCTGCAATCTGTTGAGCCAAAACTCTTGGTGAGGCATTCTCCAGACCCATATCCTTCCACTGTCCGAAATTTGAGCGAATCTTGATTCTTCTGAGAACAATACGGTCTTTCCAAAAGTCCAT